TGTGTGTGTGTGTGTGTGTGCCACCCTTTTACCCAAAGCTTTTTCCTGGATCCTCAAGGCAGACCCGGGACATACTGGAGAGATTATATCTCTTGGCTGGCCTGGGACGCCTTGGTATTCTCCCAGGGGAGCTGGAGGAGCTGGCTAGGGAGAGAGAGGTCTCTGCATACCTGCTCAGACTACTGCTACCGTGACCCAGAACCTGGATGAGCAGTTTAGGATGGATGGATGGATTGATTTTCCAGATCCACTTGTATAGCTTGATATTTACTGATGAGCTTCCTGGTTCCCTGACGTCTGAGGACTCGGGACTTGTTCATGTTTTACCCTTTGGTCCTCGACTCCACATCCTCGCCCATGGAGCGCCAGTCTCTCCCGGTTCCGCATGTCTGTAAGCGAGCGCACACGCAGATGGCTAGCAAATGCCGCTCCTCTTGGGTTCGCTATAAAGACTATTGTCTGTGGAAGTGTGAATGAACTGTGTGGGCTGCTGTTTTTTTTTCCTGAATTCAGAGATGTATCCATTTGGTAAAATGCGTCATCAGAATTTCCATGGATCCACGCTTTGCTGACCACATTTCGACCTGTCAGATTCCTCTCCAGTGATTTTCTCCGTTCCATTCCGCTTGACACATTCCGCGCTCATACCCAGTTATTTAAGGATTATGTAAAAGGCTGATCCCAGGGTTCCCAGTAGCTGGGTTGCCTTGCCTGGGCTATTACATAACTGTCCATTGTAGCGGGCAGCAGGCTAGATGGAGCCACAGCCGGGGAAGCTGTTGCACCCCTGACAGAGCGGTTCTGGTAACCTGGGAAGCTTCTGAAGCCGTCCGCCGTTCCTCCGCAGACCCTGCAGGTGGACCTGGAGCAGAGGCGGAGGAACTGGGCGCGCAGCATAGAGCAGCTGGAAGAGTACACCACATCGCTGGAGAAGGAGCTCATCAAGATGGCCAGCAACATGCGCAGGTCCCGCACCGAGATCCTGCACCTGTCAGTCAGGTGAGGGGGGGGTGGAGTCTTCAGGGACATGCGGGGGGGGGGGTGGCGATTCTTTTACTGGGAGTGTCAAGAGGTGGAGGAGAGTAGGACTCCCATCACTTGCATGTAGGATTTGGGGGAAATGGCCTCCAGATGGACGGCGGGTTGGTCACCGGACTCTCGCTGACTGGATTGACCCACTTTAAGTTAAATCGAGCTGTGACTGTAATCCCACCTGCATCGGGCCTTCAGGTCTTGGGTCTTCATTTGTGAGCCACGTTTGATGCTGGTGACATGTCACTCCCAGCTTGATATGATGTAGTGCAGGGCTCTTCAACTCTGGACCTCGATTCCAAATCCAGGCCATGTTTTCAGTTCTCCCAAGTAGTTGTTTAATAATTACTGATTCTGATTGGTCAGAGGCTTCACACCTGACTGACAGGTAAAGGAAGGCTGGAAAACCAGCAGTGCTCGGACCTCGAGGACCGTGAGTTGAATAACCCTGATGTAGTGGGAGGTGAAAGGGGTCAGGATCCATAGTTTGCTACCAGTCATAGGATTCACTGGATGGTCTTAGTTTTGGGGTCTGGATGTTGGGTGCTGTGTGGGTGGTGTGGACTGGGTAGAGATGGAGGCCTTCAGAACTTCATTGTTTCATCCACTCTTACCTTAAGTGGTGTTTTTGTTCCCTTCTATCCTTTGTTCTTCTGTTTCCTCAGATGTCTAATCTATTGTTCCAGCTGCGTTTCATTGTTTCTTCCCTCTTTTGTGTTTGGTGTTCTGGGTTCATCGGTCTCTCTCCTCCGGTTCCGTGTGTCTGAGCAGAGCATGTCTTTCAGGGTCCAAGACCAGGAGAGTCAGAAACAGCAGCTGCGTGATGAACTGGCCCAACTCCAGATGTCTGGCCAGGAGGCCACAGATGCCAGCTCTGAGGACCGACCGTGGCAGGCCGTCGACAGCTGGTCGCAGACGGAGGACCTGCTACAGGGGGGCGTCGATAGCAGCTCCCAGACAGAGGCCATCCCATGGGACGGCATGGAGACCAGCTGCCAAACCGAAGACCCGATAAGGCAGGGAAACGATGTCAGCTGCCAGACCGAGGAGGACCTGCCACAAGAGGGTGTCGAAGCCAGCTCCCAGACAGAGGCCTTCCCATGGGACGGCATCGAGACCAGCTCCCGAACTGAAGACTTCTCCCCACCAGAGGGCACTCATGCTAGCTCACAGACGGAGGAGGATCTGTTTCAGGTCAGTTTTACGCGGGTTTGGGGATGATGATGATGATGATGATGATGATGCTAAAATACAAATAAGCCAAAGATGACATGCGGTGGCTGTATGCAGAGCAAGGAAGGAATTTGCCAGGAACTGGAGGTCAGTTTCTTAGCATGTGTTAGCAGAGCATCGCAGGGCAAAAGGTAGCAGCTCCTCCTCCACATCGCGCTTCATCCCGATACGGAAAGGCTGCCATAGGTCTCATACAGCCGCTGGCAATTGTGATGGATGGGGGGGGGGGACTCAAGTGCATTAGAGAAGCGGACCAGTGGAACGGCACAAACGGGTGGGAGGTGTTTGAAACTCCAGAGGACTCGGTGAGCTGTGCCGGCTGCGTGGGCGCTCATGCCACTTCACTCTCCCCTTTTGTTTCTGAAGTTTTTCTTTTTCGTCTTTCTCCACACATTTGTACTTCCTGTTCGGTTTGCAGAAGAACAACCGTCTGCGTGTTAGAAATAGAAAACCGACTAACACTTACGGCGCGGTCCTCAGGTCTGGGGAGGGTCCGGTGCCCACGCTCTGGGCGAGGAAGGAGCGATCAGGGTGTGTGAAGCAGAAGGTGATTTGCTCAGACAACAGAATGAGGAGATAAATGCTTTGGATGAAGATGAGCAGATGGACCTTGGGGGCCTGTGGGGGGCAGAGCTGCAAGCCAGCCTTCCTCTCACCCTCGCAGTGCCTCTTGGACAGAGCTCCAGGCAAGTGTTGGAAGGTGAGTCTTATCTTCTCTGCGGCAGCCCACCACCACAATGTTTTTTTTTTTAAATTTATTTATTTATTTCCTTTTTCTTTAAGGTTTAGGCAAAAGAGGGGCTTTAATTCATATAGAGGGGGCAATCTTATCAGCCAATCATAAGTTTGGAATCTGAGTGACAGGGCATGCAAGGGCCAATCAGCTTTCAGCTGGGGCTAGTGCTCCGCCCCCTCATGCGTGTCTTTCCCAGGGCCCCTGATGCAACAGCTGCTCTGTCACTTTATCAATGTTTATCTCCTTTAAAGCCAATTGTTCAAATATCTTCCGAAATTTCCATGCTTTTCTCTGTTAGATTCACAGCATCACAGATGTGCATTTTTTATTACCCACTGTTCAAATGGCTGTTCAAGTGTCTCCCCATATGCCCATGGCCATGTGTGGGGTGGATTATGGGATGGCAGTGGCACAGAACAGTGTGGATGAGAGCTGGTTTTAAGTAGTTCTGAATGCGATGAGAGTATTATCTCACTCAGACTTCATCCTCAGTGGTGTCAATGTTCAGATACATCAGCCCTCTATGGAAAGGCAAGCTTCATCAGCTCAGAGGTTCAGCTTGAGCTCCTAACACCGTCGTGCCATGTGAGGTGGTGCAGGGGGGGTTACTCTGAGTCACGCGGTCAGCATGGTCACTGGACCCCAGAAACTACGCCGGCATGAAACCAGTTCTAGGACTCAAAACTTCATTCTGACTTTTTTTTTTTGTTTCAGCAAGTGTAGGAAAGGTGAAGGAAGGTCTTCAAAGACATGGTCAATCTCTCCAGGTGAGTGCCAGTGTTTTTGGTCCATAAATGCTTAACTTTCCTATGAATCAGACTTCCTGTCTACATGGTCCCCTGACCACAGTGCCAGGTGTAGGAGGAGTGACAGCCCCAGGCTGATGAATTAGGACCCAGGTGTGACCTCCATGCTGATGCCAAAGGGACTATGAGGGACTCCCGTATAAAGTATTCTCCCACACACTTTCCCTCACATGGGACTCACCTGGCTCATAAATTTGCTAAACAAATGAATGCTGACCGATTCACTGGGTTGTTCTGCCCTGAGCAAACGCATCTCCCATGGTGCACTGGGAGGATTCGTATCTACCCTGTGAGATGAGTGGAGGCTGGCCAGCAGCTCTGCTGCTAGAAAGTCAGGCTTCCATGACACTTCTGCGATCCGACCTCCTTGTCCTACTTAATGCTCACTCACTGGAATTAGAAATTGGCCCGAAATGCTAAACAATCTATACATTCAAGGCATGGCTTCAGGGAACTCGGCCTATTTTTGACAGCAGGTCCATCCCCAGGGGTGTAGGAACCAGGGGGACGAGGTAGCGTGTAAACCCAAACATATAGACCTTTACTTTAACTTGTGCACTCCTGATCACCATCTGTCGTGCACTCCTGATAACCATCTGTCGTGCACCGCTGCCCATCCCTGTCAGTGATATCGGTGTTCCACAGCCGGAAGATGGAGTAGCAGAATGGAGTAGCCCTGAGGACTCCACCCATGGGGCTGCCTGGACTGCGGGGGTGATCTCTGATTGCTCTCCTCGTCCACATTCCCACTTCCACCTCATCAGTAAGGCCTCTGTTCCTGTCCATGCATCAGCTGTCGGTCTGTGGCACTTAGAGATGCACCCACCTAATTAACGCTATTTGCATACGGCCTGCCACCCTTCAGACGCACTGACCCTGGAGTTGCTGCTGCCCCCATCCCGTGTTTGGCTTCCCCTGCCAAAGGGGGGCTCCTTGCAGGACCTGACGCTGCTGGCTGGGTATGTCCCACTCATTCAGACTGCCTGCCGTTTATCGTGAACTGTCCCAGTCATGCTTATTAATACCTGTCCCTGCTGTACGGCCTGTAAAGTTTCTACTTGTCCGAGTAAATATCAGGCAGCGTTACATCAGCGGAAGGCGATAAGCTTATGTAATGTCTGATTCAGACTTGTGCTGAGCAACAGATGCTGCATTTAGGCTGTGTGGTAATTATGTGGGCCATGTCCCTCCCTCCCTGCTTCCCTCCCTGCCTGCCTTGCCTGCCTGCCTGCTGGCAGACTTTGCAATGCAAAGCGATGCGTTCCGCACACCCAAACGAGGTGTGGTGCCCCTTCAGATTGGGTGGTGTAGCGCGGTTGCTGACTTTCCTCATTTGCGTCCGCATAGCGAGCGCGGGGACTGGGCTGCGTCAGTCTTCTCCTGAGTTTGCCGGAGTCACCGGCAGGTTCCTCAGCTCCTGCGCTCTGGCCCGATCTGCACCTCATCCCCGCGCGTCCTCTTTACCAGGTCCCGCCCGGTCCTGACTCGTGGAGGAGCCTGTCCGCCTGCGGAGGAGGAGGAGGAGGAGGAGGAAGAGGAGGACTCCATCTGGAAGGAGGATACCACTGCCCCCGGCATGAGCGACAAGCAGGTCAGAGGAGAGGTTTCCTTCAAGATCGTCAGTGAGGTGCTGTCATGCTCCGCCCTCATCCAGTCTCACATTCTCTCATCTCTTTGACATTTTTTTTCCCCCTCTCACACTGCCAAATGCCACCCCCCACTTTTCACTTCTGCTCTGAAAAGCAAGCCCTTCACATGGTCCTGCCACAGGTGGTGCTGTCAGGCTTGTTGTGCTTGTTGTCATGGAGTCAGAGTCGGGTTTTCCGAGGTGAGGAGGCTGGTGGAAGCCGCGTTCACGCCAGGGTGGTCGCTAGGAGACGGGAAGTGCCGGGTGGCCTGTGTACCGTGCATGCGTGCAGATTCCAGTTGGGTGGCACCACTGGAGTGTCTGTCCGTTTTGAGGTGGCCTTCAGAATCGATGAGGGTAAAGTGGGTAGTGTGCACTAAAGAGATGTTGCCTTGTGACCTCTGGTTTTTGTGACCTTTGACCTTTGTTATTGGGACCAGTGTGCATCGTGGGAAGGGGACACTATCGGAGTTGGTGCGTTTTCAAGTATATTACTGAAGAAGCAATAAAGTCCTAAGTGATGGTCTGGTTACGGGCAAGGGGATAAGGGAGAAATTGATATTGGAGAAGGGCACAATTTAAATGCAAAGGTCTTTTTTTTGGGGGGGGCACACAAATGAAGATACATTTACATATTGAGGGTGTCCTGCTGTCCCTTTGCCCTTGCATTAGATTACTTATTATGCACATTTTTACTGCAAGTATATCTGGTTTTCTGTAGTCTGCAGTTGGCATCTGCTATGGAAGACCTTACCCGCTTGTCTTCACCTAACTAACCATACCGCTAATGGCATCAATGGGTTAAAGGCTGAACGAGTCAGAGCCGGACAGATTGCTGTGCTGAAGCCGATGGGGGTCGTGGCCTGCAGAAGCTCTGCTAAAACTTTACGTAAGGGTGTCTTATGTAAGTATGGAGCGTGGGGGCTGAGCGGGTAGCGTTATGCTATGGAGGCGTCAGCTTGCACCTTCTGGAGGATCGCGGGCTGGGATCAGCGCTCTGTCTACGCCGGGCTCCTCGCAGGCGGGCGTGCCGTGGGCTCAGGTACGGGGTGCCGTGTGTGTGTTGCCGCAGGGCTGTGTGTGCATGTGCACCGTATCCCGCTGTGACGGGCTGTGTGTGGACGCTCAGCCGTCTCGCTAGGTGTTCTGCTATCAGGCAGGTTTCCATGCACTTTGCAAATTTTAATTGATACTTAACTATCGTTTTGCTACATTTACTAAAGCCTAAAATATGGAACTGAGCTGTACGGTGTAATGTGGCGTTTTCCATGTGCGAGGCTGTGTACTTGGTCATCGCTGGATCACCGTCCCTGCTACTGTTTTCCAAGAATGAATGTTATCAGCAACTAATCATGATAAAAAGAAGCCTGTGTTTATGACTGAATTACAGGTAATAGTGAACCTGCTTCTGATAATGGCATATCAACAGCGTGGGGTAATAAGTGCAGTTGCCGATAGTAAGTTTGTGTATGTTATAAAGTTGTGGAATTTAGGATATGAAGCTCTGAGCTTGGTCTCCTCTCCCCCTGGTGGTGGGCCTGAGTACTGCTCGAACATTTCCTGTCTTTCGCCTGTCTGCTGCCTGGCCTGGTTTTCATATCTCTTTACTGTTCTTGTTTAGCAGTTATCTGTGGACCAGGTATCATCCAGCAGTAACACGGCGGATCGGTGAGTGTCGTTACATCAGCTGCTGTAATGGGCATCATGCAGTCTGATTTTTCATGGTACTTATGAAAGTTTTATCAAGGTAGTTATAAAAGTGACTTGCTGGATGTCCCATTCAAACACCCCCCCCCCCATGTTTCTGCGATTTTCTTCCCAAATCATTGACAAATGTTCAATATAATGGCATTTGAGATGTTTGAACACGCCCTATATTGATAATGTATTTCGCAGTAGAACTATGCATAGCAATGTGCTAATTCAGAAATGGGCAAATGCATAGCAATGCGCTAACTGTGACACTATAGCTTAGGAGTGAGGCAATAGGGGAAAGGCGTAGCGATGTGCTAACTGACTGACGCTATGGCGCGGTGGCTCAGTGCATAGCAATGTGCTAAAGTGGCACTCTACTGTCACATGTCTAGTCTGCCGCTGACACCAGGAAAGGGACAGGAGGCTATGCAGGTTCTTCCTGAAGAGAAGAGCAGAGCAGGTAGGGGACGCCCACGCCGGGGTGTGGTTTGACATCATTCTTGGGCTTAGCTCATGAATCACTTGCTTTATTCTCAGTCAGTGCTCGCTCACTCTCTCTCCTTGTCTCTCTTTTGGTGTTTCTCTATTTCTCTTTAGCTTCCCCTGAACTGGTGGCAGGCAGAGGAGATAGTAGCCCTGTGACATCAATCTACAGAGGTCCTCTCCATCCAGCGGAGAATCGCGCCGTGACAGCCGACGTGAAGGGTGGGTGTCGTCGTCTCCCCATTGGCTCGGGACCTGATCAGGTTTGTGCACTCATGTGAACCCCTGTCTTTCATTGCCTTGCAGATGATGGCCTGTCACCACCAGCGCTAGGAGGTCAGAGCCCACAGACACTCCGAGACTCCATGAACCTGAGGAATAAGTTTAAGAGGGAAATGGTAGGTGTCCGTGGGTCGCCCAGGCTTAGTCTGATACTCTGTTCATCTGCACATGTTTAGACCAAGTCACATGTTTGATCAAAGAAATTACCTTTCTTATGAGTGGGTTGCTTGGGGGGTGAGGTGGGTGATTCTTCTTTCACTGTTTATTAGAAGGTGTCTGACTTTGGATAGGGGGGAACTGTAGCACGTATCACCCAGGCGTTACCACAGTGTTGAGAACTTGATTGACATAGAATAAATATCTGAGCTACTGTACAAAGTTCTTATAATCTTTGGTAGTTTAATGTCTAGAACAGGGGTAGGCAGCACTGATCCTGGATTGTCAGTATCCAGCAGATTCTCCATCCCACTTGGTGTCTGAACCACACCTGATCTTGGGTGAACAGTAACTCATCAGGTAGGATAGAAAACCTGCTGGATGCCGGCCCTCCTGGATCAGGGTTGCTTACCCCTGGTCCAGAAGGTCTATGTGCTGTAGGAGAAGATAAGATGGTGTATGTTGTTGGTCAGGTACTTTCACGGAGCATGGAAGCTATTGAGGAGAACAACACACAGGAAGATCTGGGAGAAATGTCAGAAAAAGAAGGTAATTTGTGTACCACATGCTTAAGAGTGGTATCGTGATTTACAGGTCGTGATGTACGGGACCTGCTATTTTCATAGCAAAATGATTTAATTTTATTCTCAGATTGGACAGGCATGAATTTACTTGAGGAGTAAAAATAATTTTAGAGGATCAGTGAGTTTTTAAAGAGCAGGAGGTTCTTTCCATACAGGTGAGAATCCACTAAATGACGGAGACGTGAGTGACGAGAACAAAGAGGAAGACAAAGACAGGTCGGTGCCAAGCACTTCTGTACATTTTAGTTTAATTTCTAAGTAATATTTCATGGCCGCTTTTGTCCCTCACTTACGATTGATTGTTCTGCTCACAGTTTGTCTCAGAGTGAAAAAGAGATTGAGGTGAGTTGGGAAAAAAAGCTGGATTCAAATATCCTGTGTCCTGTTACCCCACACCGGTCGGTTCGGATAGTTCTGTATTTGGCATGCTTCTCCCCTCAGTGTGTATCCCTAAGGTTATATCACTTATCGACTATGGGTTTGCATGCGACTTGTCACCCAGACCGAGTTCCATCGGCTGTCGCTGGGCTTCAAGTGCGACATGTTCACCCTGGAGAAGCGGCTGCGCCTCGAGGAGCGTTCTCGTGACTTGGCTGAGGACAACATGAAGAGGGAGGTCTCCAGCTGCCAGGGGCTGCTCCTGGTATGTCAGTAAAGCAGGGCACCACCCTCAGGAACAATGTGGGGTACCTTGATTGGGTCATCATAAAGGAGGAGGTAAAAATGTAGCAGATCTGTTTGGTCCACCAGACCTGCTTTCAGAACATTCCAGAGTCATGGTAAGCAGAACTCTTGGTAAGACTACGAATTAGTCTCTAACACTGGGTGTTGGTGTCCATTTTCTGCAGGCTCTGCTACCCCTGTGCAGCGATGACAACCAGTCCATGGAGATCATCCAGAGGCTTGGCAAGAACCTGGACATCTTGATCCAATCAATGAGCCGAGTGTCCACCCGCTCTGAGATGCTGGGGGCCATCCACCAGGTCTGGTGTCCAGGCGGGAAGGGGGGGGTGGTGAATGGGAACTGCATTAAGACTTGTAGGGGTAAATGCACTGGAAACTGATATCATTCCTGTGTGCCTCTTTAGGAGAGCCGGGTCAGCAAGGTGGTGGAGGTGATGATCCAGCATGTGGAGAACCTGAGGAGGATGTACACCAAAGAGCATGCTGAGCTAATGGAGCTGAAAGAGACCCTCATACAGAATGAGAGGTCTTTCGGCTCTCTTGAAAGAGGTAACTCAGCAGTAATTCTTTTCTGAAAAAAATTGCATTTGGTGGCACCTGGGTTAGCCCAGTTACGTCTGGAGACCAGGGTTGTACACGTGTTGAGTATGTCTACATGGGAGTTTGCATGTTTTCCCCTTGACATCTTGGGGTTTCCCTCAACAGTTCAAATACACTAAGGTTGCCAAATCATCCTGTGTAAGAATGAGTGCTCTGCGATGAGTTGGCGCCTCATCCTGGTTTATTCCCTGCCTTGCATCTGTTGTTTCCAGGATAAGCTCCAGACCACTGTGGCCCTGCATAACAATGAATGAATTAATGAATGAATTGAAATGTATCAGTATCATCTAAAACGGTACCTCCATGTTCCCCTCCAGATGACTTCCGGAACAAGAAAATGTCAGGATCTCAGTACTACAAGGTAACTAGGATATTTATAAAGACATCAATAGCATGTGGTCACCTGTGTGGCTCTTCTGCAGGTTCAGCCTGCAGTGAGTGGAACACCAGTCTCAGGCTGGATACAGCGCCGTAGTGACCCCACCCCACTGACCTCTGCTCAATCCCCTCTCATCAGCCCTCCACACGACGCGTCAGTATTGCAGTTATCCCCCGGAACAGTGGAGGACCCGCAAACTTTGACATGGTGAAAGATGCCATCCTGTTCATCAACCAAACACCTTGAGAACAGTGTTGAGCACTCAGATTATGGCAGGAGCTCCTACTTATTAGATTGGAATTAAAAGCTCTTAGACTCGATTTGGGTTGCAAAGGGGCGGTACATTCCTGGAAACTATCCAGAAACTTTCCATTCAATGGGAAGTTACGCTGAGGAATTTTGGAAATATTCCAATTTGAAAACTTTGCATGGCAATTACCAAGAATATATGGAAATTATTCCCATATATTCCCAGAATTTTGCAACCCTAGACTCAGTGAGGATGAGCAACATCTGCTGAAGCATTTAAACTCCACTTTGGGTCAGTGACTGGGTCAGTGAATGTTCTATATGAGCAGAAACTAGGAAGTATCAAGTAACTGCTCTGAAGAATTGCTTAATTTCCCACTCCATTTACACTTTACCACTCCTTCCGTGAGCTCCTGTTTATCTGTCAATTCATCCATCCATGTGGTTGTCTCCATCTTGAACATAAAATTACATCATATGAATGTGAGAACGTGGATGTCATATTGAAAACTCAAATCAGTTTATGTTCCCAGTCTTTGCTGCAGTTTGATTTGTCATGACATTAGCATCTTAGCCTTTGCGCATTTTCACATGATCAATGGACGCCTGATGTGTGGTTTCTCCATCTCTTCCCACCTGCAGACTAGGCCACATGACACAACAGACATAGAAGCAGAAACACTCAGGAGAAGCTCATGGTAGGTCTTGCTTAATGCTGAGTTGCCTGGGTGCTGATTGCTGAGTGGGAATTTCTAGTATGTGTTGAATGGTGGTTGGAGAGGATTATTGATTTAAAATCGACCAAGTTCTTTATCAATGCTTTGCAGGTTTTCTCTCAGGTGGCTTGTGAGCCCTAGAAAAATGGGTCCTTTTTCTTAATAATCCTTGTTTCCGTATAATAGTGTTATAACACCTTCATGGGTACCCAGGAGCAATTCAAGCAAAAACCTAAAAGCCGTTCAGTAAACCATGACATTGCTTGAAGCAGGTCAACGGTTGTCTGTTGTCCCCATGGTTACAGGAAAACGGCAGGGAAGAACAGTCTGCAGCCATCGCTAAAGCGTGTCGTTAACTCCTGTGCTTGGGCAAAGAGTGAGGATTCTTCTTCGATGAAGGGGTAAGGATTCCCAGCGGAGAGCACTGGTGGATGTGAAGTTGACCAATCCCCTTAAACGGGCGGAACCTGTTCGTGATTGATCTCATCACATTTGCATGCATTGCTCTGTCAGGCTGGGAATCACTGTGGCTAGCTGAAGCGAGAGGCCGATTTTCTTTTCCATGCACGTCCGGTCTTTCCCATCTCAGACTTCATTCTCATGCCATTTAAATGCACACTGTCTCACCGCCAGTTCAGGTGTTGCCTGGAAACTCGGCCGCACGGCTTCTGCCTGATCCTCAAGCTGCCCACACAGCGTGCATTATTAATGCCTGCAGGTACGAACGCGAGAGGCAGCCCCTCACTGAAGAGCAAAAGGAGGAGAATGCAGAGAAGAAGTTGGGCAGCAAAGTGCCGTCGCTTGTTATGTCATCCATGAAGTTAGTGGGACGTCTGCCGATGCTTTGATTAGCGTAGCGTAGCATAGCCGCTTTTTCCCCTCCTCCTTTCCATCCCTCCAGCCCTTGTGTTGGTGTGAGGGCTGGCACCGGTGGCGCTGGCTGCTCTGTGATTCTTGTGCTCTTGGTGTCGTCTTGCCGCTGACCCATCCTTCCTCTTCCTCACTCACACACCATCACCCCATGACCGTTCCCCACACTCAGATCTTTCTCTTTCCCGTCAGGCCAGACCAGACCTCACCCTCGTTGGTGGCATCGCACCCTGTTGTGCCCAAGGGCGGCCGGAGTCTGTGGCTTTCGGTTGCGGTGGCGGTGCTGCTGGCAGGGCTCTTGGCGCTCCTGGCAAGCGTGGCCTTGCAGCCAGCGGTGGACGCGGCGCCCGTCGGACCCGGTGATTCCTGGGTGACCATCCAGCAGTTCCTGTGGCCGTACACTGGCCTGAGGCACAATGGGCAGCCGCCAGTGTGAGCGGCCGTGGCTCCAGCATTGGGGAATGGGGGGGATGTGACGGAGGGTGACACTAGCTGCCCGGATGGACTGTTCTTATGAGTGAAGGTGGAGCACTTGGACCGTTTCAGCAGTGTGATCCTGCTGATGCTCACAGCCTTCTGAACGCGCCCCCATGATCGTCGTGGCCTGTCGGAAATTCAGAAAAATGTCAACCTCATTGTGCCCCATTCTGTACTGTGTATGTGGGGGCATACCGTGGACCACAGCGCTGACACCTGCAAACACTGCCCAATCGTGTCGCAGATATCAGCAAATTGTTGACCAATGGAGGCTCTTCGTTTTAAACACTTGTGTTTTATTGTTAATATATCAAGGACTTGTTTTTTTTCTTTTTTTTTCTTTCTGAGCCCAGTTTAGACACCTGGGTTGCCTTGCATGGCTGCCTTTTTAAATCACTTTAGTAGTTCAGACACAGCTGCCGGAAAAGGTAAATTTTTATTGGTGCATATTTAAGTGGTAATAAATGACCATTTTAATACATTCTTTTGAGTGAAGCTTTCATTTTACCATTTTATTGCATTTTTGTTTGGTTGTGTGGAATTTTTGTTCTTATGGGACACTGTGTGTTGTTCTTGCTGTGTTGTTCACCACTATGAATTCGTACACATCTGGAAAAGGGTAACGTGAAACTTTCACAATAAAACGACTGATTCTATGCTGCTGTCTCGTCTGTCGATGGCCTGCAGTTGACACCCTGCAGTCAGGGAAATGGGGTCAGTGCTTTCAAAGGGTGAATGGTGAAGTCGGTGGTTCTCAGACTGTGGGACGTTTCATCTGTGGTACGTGGAGCACCCCCTGGTGGTACACCAGAAGAATGTGGTAATTCTTTACTGTGATTATTATTTTATTTTTTTTGCTCCACCATTGTGATACTTGCCTGCTTTGGTTTGTCTGGTACTTTGATACTTGGTCCAAAACCTTAAGAACCGCTCTTGCCATAAAAGCCAAATTCCTTTACATATTTTACCAAAACTAAGTTGTCTGAAATTTGGTTCATTAGGCTGTTTTATCTAGTGACAAAATCTTTGATCAGCTATGTTTGGTTTTGAATAAGTACACTATCGTTTACCTGCCTACATGTGCAGGTGGTCCCTCAAAACATTTGCAATCTGTGTGAGTTTCATGTCCACTGCTAAATAAAAATGACTGTTAGAATGAAGTTGGAACTTTTGAGAACAGCCAAAACATTAGACATTAGGTTTTCGATTTCATATTCCACAAAAATTCTTAATTTTAAGTTGTTATATATTTTTGTTTTATTTAACAATGTTGTCAGTGTAGTTACCTTGTACTGCCTTTCACAAGGCAGCACTGATCTAAGATGTCTTTGTATAACAGTTTGGGGTCTTTTGAGATTTTGGTCTTTACAGATAGTGAGCCATGTTTTTTTGGGGGGGTGGGCAGCAGTCAGCAGTAGCTGAGCACCCGTGTGGCCATCAGCAGCTGGAGCACACAGTCCACAAAGAAGGGGTCAGCGTCTCGCACGCGGCCATGCCCGGGTGCCCCCATGCAGTCACGCAGCATGTGCAGGAAGGTGGCATGGAACTCGCTGCCCCCGTCCAGGGCTGTCGAGAAGCTCTCACTCTGCTCCCTCATACGCAGCCGCCAGGTCCTCTCCGCATTAAGCAGGTACAGGGACCAGGCCTTCTCTGGCACAGGCCCCGCCTCCAGATGCTCACAAGCCTGGGGGGGTACAGGATGTGAAACAATGGTTCCATTTACAAATATGGAAAAGTATTTCAAAACCTGCATTTTTACATTCCATTAATGGCAAAGCAACAAAGGTATAATCTGTGTATACAGGGGCGTGGGAACCAGAGGGATGTGGAGGACAGGGAGATGTGTCATCCCCAATAGTTAATTTGGCTGCATTCATCCCCCCAATAAATAGACCTTTGTATTTAAGTTATGCCCCCCACCAATATCGAACTATGCCCCTGGTGCTGACTACCCCGGCCATTTCTGCGGGGGGTAACCCTTGTTGCGAAACACGTTAACTCCAGCAAGCAGCTTGCTGCTTCCCGTTTAGGACACTCGGGTCGCTCTTCTGCAGAGGACTCTTCTCCCCGTTTCCGTGCCGACCTGCACCACCAGCTGCTCCCGCCCGCAGTGCGAGTTCCAGCGGCTCCAGCTGAAGGCCACGGCGCAGGAGAGCAGCGCCATCTGCTCGTAGGCTGCCTGCTCGATCAGCGGCTCCTGTGTACACAGGAGGAGTACGATGAGTTGTGTCAGCAGTCATACCACCAGCAGTTCAGTCTAGGTCCACCTGAAGCTAAGCAGGTTTGGCCCTGGCCAGTACCTAGTTGGGAGACCAACTAGGAAAGATTGGTTGATGCTGGAAGAGGTGTTGGTGTGACCAACAGGGAAGCCCATCCTGTGGTCAGTGTGGATCCCAATGCTTCAGTGCAGTGATGGGGACACTGTGGCCGACAGGGGAGCCCATCCTGTGGTCAGTGTGGATCCCAGTGCAGTGATGGGGACACTGTACTGTAAAAACGGTGCCGTCCTTCGGATGAGACATAAAACCGAGATCCAGACTCTCTGAGGTCATAAAAGATCCCTGGGCATCTTTCAGAAGGCTAGGGGTGGTACCCTGAGATCCAGGCTAAAACTGCCCACTCTGGCCCTAACAAATCCGGCCTCCTAAATCATCCCCTATATCTAACTGGTGAATTCAGTCCTGCCCCTTCACCACCTTAGCTACTGCGTGGTGAGCAGAATGGCTTCTATAAAGTGCTATATAAATACATCATTCATTCTGTGAATAATGGAGACCTCCTCTCAGGCCTTCCTGTCTACTGTGGTACTGGGAGACATGCAGGCCATCATTCTCTTTAAGAGCTTTCTGCTAATTCATTCAGATAATTACAATTTAAACATAATGTGTTGCAGTGGAGACAGGAAGGTCTCCAGACCTGCATAAATCAATAGAATAGGGGAGTGATACTTTACTGATCCCCATGATAAAATTGTCTTCTTGCCTACCCCATCTTGCTCTCCGAGACAGATACACAGGTAAGGGCCAGCTGGCATGCAGAGCCTCAGCAGGAACTGGGGATTAAGGGCCTTGCTCAACTGTATCTGCCAGAACCAGGATTTGAACTGGCAACCTTCCCATCACAGTCACAGAGTTCCAACCTGCTGAGCCACACTGTGCCCCTCCCCCCATCTGTGTTTTGTGACATTCCTCAGCGACTCCCACCTTTGCGTTGATGCTGACGTACTTCCCCGAGTGCTCGCTCACAAAAACATTGACCCCCGCTCTCCTCATGGCCTTCTGCAGCGCTGATGGGCTCATCCACCTCCCCAGCACGTGCGGCAGCTCGTACTCCGTGGCTGAGCTCAGCATGCAGCGGTGCCCCTGCTGGGCCCCAAAGTCATTACAGGCTCTGTGTCGTCCCACCAGAGACAAAGGAACGTGTGTTGGGCTGATTGCTTGCCTTGACCGTGAAGTGGACCTCAGTGACCGCAGCTGTGACCACCAGAACCGCAGCGTTCAGGCCCAGCGGTCGCAGCTCCCAGCCCTGGAATGGCATGTTGATGTGCATGTCCTGCAGGAGAGCAAATGGGTAGAACGAGTCCATCTGGAAGGAGATCTTCTTCAAGGACGTGTCATACGTGATGATGCCGATGCTCTCTCTTGTCCACTGGCAAGCTGTAGGAGTTTGGCAGGGTGGCACAGATATTCATATCTACCCCAAAAATCTGAACCTGGGTGCCTTCAGTGTTTACAAGCAGAGTAAGGCTCACCTACAGCGTCCCAGCGGGCAACCTGGGGGTCCTGCGGGAACACTACAGAGTTCGGGACGGTGACTGTGACCCCTACAGGCGGGGAGACTAAAGCACCCCCCTCATCCAGCGGTCTAGATGTGGAACTGTGCAGCTGTGATTCGTCCACAGGGTAAGGGAATCTCTGCAGGCCCGTATCTGAAAGCTGGTCGGTGTAGTGGGATGAGAAACAGTCATTTCTGGTCACTTGATCCCATTCTTTTCTCTTTTTTTTTTTAGATAGGATTAAATTAGATTAAACAATATTGCCATTGTGCTGAGTACATGTACAGAGCCAATGGAATGTAGTTTGCACCTCACTAGGTACGAAATAAAAAAAAAAAAATATATATATATATACACACGAAAACAATAAATTATACATATAGATACGGTTCCTTCTTCTCTTATGGACCCATCTCTGATCAGTTCACTCTCACCATTTGGTGGTCAGAAAAGGTATTGCAGGCTTCGTGATGGTTGTTCAGCTGTGCCTTACTGGTGAGGGCAAAGGATGTTCCTCTTGGTAATGCTTGAAGGGGAAATCCTCCATCACCTACTTACCTCTCTCATATCCCAGCCATTGACCAGCTGGGACTGGGGTGGTATCCGGAATGCATCGAAGTAGAAGACCCCGCCCAGGGGCGTGTACTGATGCAAGTCGACCACCTCGGTCTCCACCAGCGTCACCGGAGCCTCCGGGGGGGAATAGGAGTCTCTTTCACCTGCCACCAAATACAATGCTGGCGCTCAGGGATGAACCTTTGGCCGTGATTCATAGTGATTTATATGACTTATAGTGATTTATATGATTTATAGTGATTTATATGACTTATAGTGATTTATATGACTTATAGTGATTTATATGACTTATAGTGATACCATTTCAGTTGGGAGTGTTTTTGTATCACAGAACAGCCACCATAAGGAATGCCCAAGTGGAACCCAAAGAACCTAGAGACCAAAAATCCAAGATGTCACAGGGGTTCTCCGCCTACCTGCAATCGCAGTATCCTCCTGCAGACTGTCTCTCCTGCCCTCCCCCCAACGCTGCTCCTCCGGCTCCTTATCATGTCTTGCATTCTTTTCCTCCTTCTCAGAGGCCACACTTGCAAAGCTCTACCACACAGATGCAAACCTAATTCAGTTCATGCCAAAACGCAACAATGGCGACCTGAATCTGAACAAGACTATTGTTCATTTCAATAGCAGTTGACCACATTGGTTGGCCAACACTCCCTTCATTATTCATCAATGATTAAGGGTGTTTCTCATTATGAATACTTGACCGTACTTGTGTTCTCATGTATCCATTTTGCATCAACTTCCATCGCCGAAGACCAGTTCCAACATTCAAGAACAGAAATACAGAGGATGGTAAAAATCCTTGGATGTTGGTCTTGCTCTGCCCCAAATATCAAGGATACATCGGTTGCATCCTCGCTGAACAAGACCAATCCCTTGATTCATTGTGGCCCAAGTTCATTCTTGGAAGGCAAGTCAACAAGTCGGATTTTACCAAGAGCGCATGTACGATCTTTGCATTCTTGGTATTGAGAAACACCCTAGGTCACCAATCAGCCAATCACCTACTCCCAGTGTGCACATGCCCAGTGCACCTCACCTTCCTGGTCTCAGATCTGACAGAGTCTTCATCCTTGTGGTCTAGGCTCTCCTCTGCGTTTCCCTGCTGTTCTGTGTCTTCATCCCCCACTTCTCCTGTTGAGGGATGAGACTCCTCTGACTTGATGGAGCCCTGGCTAATGCGATGCGCCCCGGCGCTCAGGCATGACAGGTGGTCAAATCGTGTATGCAGGATCCGCACGGCCACGTCGCTCACGGCCAATTGCTTGGGCAACTCGAACCCGAAGCCTGCCTCGTGAAAATGGTATCCTTTAAACCTAATTGAAAAATATGAATGCCATGGAGAACTGATGAGCTTTACAGCAGACGTGGAAAAAAACAGTCCAATACTTTGTAGACATTCAGAAGGTTTGACTAGTTTTTATTACCAGTATCTGCATTTCAAATGGATACCACCTTTTTCTGTAAAAAAAAAATTTAAATCGTGTTTTTTAAAAGCATCTTCCAATGGCAGGGAAGGCAAACCTCATGATGCACACATTTCACCTTCCTCACTGCCTGTTTTTTGTTTAATGTGCACCTTAGAAATGCACAAGAGCTAGTGTGAAATCTTTTTAACAGTACATAATTTCTTTCCCTGAATCTCTGAAAAATCAGCTAGGCTGATCATTGCCTCGTCTTTAATAATTTCATGACTGAGGCATGCTGTGCACCTTTCTGTCAGTGCTGTTGGGGGGGGGGGGGTTACCTTGGGTTCTTGTTGAGGTTAGCCCAAAGACACAGGGTGGCGTCTGCATCCTGAATGACCGTCTGCATGTTTCCGGTCTCAATGTCCATGTTTGCCCTTGACCACTGCACACAGAGAAGCCAACACCAAGCAATGGTTTGCACCATTATTGAAACACGGCTTGCCATGTATTTCTCATATGTTTACACTATTTCCAGTAAATATATGGCTATACCATCTTCTGTCAAACACATACTTCACTCACAAGATTCACACACTTGAATATGACAAAAAGTATAAAAAAAACACAAGTTTTCTAAATTAACCTGTTTATAGCCATGCAAACTAATGAATCAAATTCATATCCATCCATTCATCTTTCAACTGCTTATCCTAGTCAAGGTCATGAGGGACTTGAGCCTGTCCCAGCCAGCACAGTGCACACAGCTGAGGTCACCCTGCATGGGATGACAGTCCAATACAGGGCGCACACACACCGATACCCCAACATGTTGAGGGAAATCTGGACTGCGGACGGAAAGCCACATGACAGAGAGGACATAAAACAGAGATGGAGCTCGAACCCCCAGATGGGGGAACATGGGAGGCACCAGGTGTGGACTTACAGGGTTTAATCCCTGAATGTTTTTAGCGGAGCCCCAGTCCACTCTTCAACAATCGCCATCAGCCTGTTATGTGTAACAATTTTTGAGCTGAACCGCAGCTGCCCTCTGCAGGGCTGGGCCATTCCACAATGCATTCATCAATTCCAGTCCAAATCAGGAAATGGACCTCGAGGGATTGGGGGAAAAAAAAGAAACTACGGGGAACAGAATTGGAACTGAATTCGAATTTAAGGGAGACTTAGATTTGAGCTCCAGTTCACTTTCCTGATTTGGATTGGAACTGAGGAATGAATTCTGGAATGGCCCCAACCCTGGTCCTCTGACCCCCCACATCCCCCCCGTATGAGCCACCACTCCACTACATATAATATATAAAGCTGCCTCGCGTTTTCCAGGGAGGGTGACGTTTTCCCTTTTCCCCAGGGAACTGGAGCTGCTCCATCTGCTTCCTCTCCCGGGCCTCACCTTCAGGATCTCCTCTGTGGCCTGGTTGCGCTTGGAGTGGATGAGTTCTTGCAGGGACAGAATAGTCTCCTGGTGCCTGTGTGTGTCGCTGCTGCTCCCCGCAGTCTGAGGTGTGTCATTCAGCAGGTCCTCCAGCTCCTCAATCAGCTTGGAAGAAAATTGGGGGGGGGGGGGGGATCATGAGGTGGTAGGGGGGGGAAGGGGTGTGCTGTCAGATTGTCTGGAAAAACCCAATGAGAGATAATCACACAGAGAATGGAGTCAAAACACGCAGTGACTGACAGCTCACTGCAATGCCCCCGGGGATTTCTAAGCCTCTTTTGATCCAATACTTCATTTAGTTTTCAACTCAAACTATCTTTAGATTGGATTAGATGAGATTAGATTGTAAGTAAATTTTATTTATAAAGCACATTTCAAGAACACTTCATGTTCACCAAAGTGCTGCACAATTCATACCATCAAAATAAATAGATAAAAATAATAATAATAAAAAAACATGTTAAGAGATAAAACACCCCAAAGGGAAATCATTTACACTCCAGAGTAACTATGTGAATTGCCTTTATCAGCAATTAAGGCGATAGATAGATAGATAGATAGATAGATAGATAGATAGATAGATAGATAGATAATCGTGATTGATTGCCTGATTGACTGATTGATTCATTCATTCATTCCAGATTACTTTATCAATCCTCAGAGGGAAAACCTTTATCATGTGTTAAGGGTACTGACCCGCTGAGCCAGGGAGCAGTTCTCCAGCACAGAGCCAATCTGGACCTCTGTATCCTCGCGCCAGAGGCTGATGAAACTGTTGATCTCCTGCGGTATCGACGGGTCCGGAGTACCATCACACTGCATGTAGCGCTCCCACTGAGGGATAGGGCAGAGTCGCATCAAACAGTCGTTGCGATATGTGCAACTGTAGTTTGTTTTTACTCATTTTCATTTGGCAGGATTCACATCAGCAGGTGAGCAGGCACAGCTTCTGGCCTACCTTCGTTTTTGCGCTGGCCTCGTCTTTCCATCGTGCCACTGCGTTCTGCATTTCATCCAGCAGGTGTCGCAATTCGCTCAGCTCATCCTCTCTGCGCTCTCGGTCCTATTCAGAAGATCACAACTTTCATCTACCTGCTGGCAGTTACTGATTACATTTCAATAAAAGTCTGATATGAAGCTTCTTTAATTTACGATTAGAACTGCTAATATTTTGCAGACTTTTTTCAGCTCATACATTCGAAAAATGACATTCCATTGTAAACTGATTTGTCCTGTATAAAAGCACGGTGAGCTGTTGAACTAGACAGCTGCACAAGAATAGGGAAAGCGGCAATACCGCAAATATCTGCGGAAATCCACGGGAATGGGAAAAAGTACAATATTCCGGTGGAACAGCGGGAATGGAGATGACCTTTAAGTTATTTTATGATAATAAAATGCATAGTAATACCACGCTAATATTGATAAAAATTCTTCATATATGCATATTCTTATATTGCTACATTAATTATATTAATTAATTTTTTTTTCTCACCCTGACACCACCTGGGGGCAGTGTCAAGTGAGTGATTTAATAAAAAGATGGACATGGTTAATTTTACATACTGCTGATGTGTTGGTGAACATGGGGTTTTGGTACATTTGGGGACGAGGTGGGGACAGTTTTGATTCACACGAGGATAGGGTGGGGACGGTTAAGATGTCCGCAGTGACATATGGGATTGACATCATCCCCGTGAGGCTCTCTATGTCCAACGTCCCAAGCAGACCTTCAGTTCGAGTCTCTGATGTTCCTCCTGCTCCTTGCGCTCCTCTTCCTGTCTCTTTAACTCTTGCTGCTCTGCCAGCAGTCGGGCCGCCTCTGAAAAAAAAAAGCACACGATGATCAAGGGACAGGAATCATCGTCACAGTCAGAATGCAAACGCGGTTTTCGGCTAACGCTACCCTCCTCCCTCTGTCTCTGCTCGTCCTCCTCCTTCTGTAACTTCTTCTTTTCAACTTTGCTGAGTTTGTCTCGTTTCTTGTTGGCTGACTGAAAACAAATAAAAAATGGGGCATTAATGGTATTTTGAATAACAATCCCAACTAGTTTAAAGCTCAGTGATAACCCATTGTCCTCACACCAACACATGCACTAGTTTGACTCTGGAATAAAGTGGAATTTTGTAATAGTAATTTTGTAATAATAATAATTTTGTTAGAATTTCTTACCTAAAAGTAAACTCCCTTCAAGTATAAATTGAGACTAATCTCTTTCACTTTTGCTCATTTATGTCTCTTCTGGTAGATGAAATACATGATAGGTCGATATATTATTACATATATCTTACAATAATATGCTAAATTATCTTTTGTCTGTCTTGCAGTGTTTTATTTGTTGTTTCAAGATTATGCCTAGGGAAAAAACTTGCAGACCAGAAGACAGAATTAACTTAGGGAGTAGAAGGTCCTACACTAAAATCCCCTTGAATTGAATTAACTAAGTAAAAAAGGGGTTAACAATGACAACAAAACTCTTGTGAGTGTTAAGAGAGTTAGTAAGAAGGAAGCATGTGCACAAATTACCAAACATTCATTAACGTCTAATAGTCGAGGTTATTTCTTTCATGGCCATTTGTTAGGCTATAATAATATATCACGTAACTATTTTACAACAGAAAATAATTTAATTATTATGTACAGCTCAGCTGTAAAGACCAGTCAGGTCCTCATTTAGTATAGTTTTACAAAATCAGTTATGTACTCACCATTTTGTAAAACTCATAAAACGATATCCAGTGTTAGCGTCCCTGTTACTGTGGAAACTACAAACAACGAGCAGCTGGCAAAACTGGTTTCCTACAAGCGTCGTTACTTTACGACACTTAAAATATATTTACGTTTTATGGCTCTGTCCCATTTTTCTGACTTGGTCCACACTACTATACTTGACGTGCACGTCCATGCGCCTATGGCAAGTATTCAAGGGTGTCCCGTTCTTCAAATAAGCTAAATGCAGTGAGCTTGGTGGACACTTTATCCACACTTTGACAAATACTTCATAGAAGTGGCCTAGGACTATTTAGAGCACAATGCACCGCATCAGTGACGACTAATGTTTACGTCGAACACCAAAAAGTCTGCCGGTTGCATGCCTCCAAAGGAGCTTAAAGTGGCCAGAGTTGTATAACGAATGTTTAAAAATGCCCTGGCTAGACTGAAGGACAACCCCAAACTTAAATGGCAGCATAGTTGTAGCGTGTCTCTTGTTTACCTCTTCAGATAGCAAGTGCGCTCCATTGGTTTCAAGAAATCCTCGCGCACTTGGGCTCACTTGCGCGCTTTGCGTCTCACGTCAAATTACGTCAGCATAGTGCGTAGTATCACAGCGCTATGGAAGAAAGTCACTCATGACCGAAGGACGAGTGTATGAAGGTACAATATTGTAAACAGGTCATGTTTTTCAAATGATAGTAGTATAGCATAAGCGGTGGTTACTTGTTAATGAACTAAAATCCATTTAGTCTGAACTGTACGCAAAACGAAAAATAAGGTAACGTGTCTTGGCTATGCTTTGCGTATGTGATGGCTGTTTATATGTGAAAACCATCACTGCAATCTAAATCAAAATATGATTAAATCTGTTATCATCTTAAGCTACGTAACGTGGATGACCATTCTGATATGGCTGATCGTACTTGAATCAGGGCGTTTAAGTGTGGTCGTTCGTGAATAAATCATTTGGCTGCACATAACCCCTGATTTAAATGGCTGTTCTGTCATTTTCCGCGGATATACTGTCTGAACATTACCCTTGTGAAATGTTGTTTTCCTCTTCAAAGGAATAACTGGCTGTTCAGTTTTCTATCACATTGATCTATAACACAAAGTTAACCTGTTTAAGTTTTCTGAAACCAGATAAATTTTTACAATTGAAACAAATGTCGTCTCAGTTTTGGAGCTCTGTTTTATACATGACGATTTTGCGCTTGTTCAAAGCATCTGTCCCATGTTCCCAGTGCAGTGCTCATACTTATAGTAAGCATTAATGAAACATGCTTAGGATACTTACGAACTGTATGTATACAGACACATATATAGCTAAATGAGAAAGTCTATTTCGTGGAACACCCCCAGGACTTCTCGGTTAGCTGGGTTCTAGATACAAGTCATTATTGTCCAGCAGGACTGCTCCTTGACTAAACTCTTCTTGGATAATCATGACTTAACCCAGTTAACTAAGAAATCTTGCTTCTTGGAGCACCCCTCAGCACCAGTTCGTAACAGATCCTTTGAACAAGCGCAAAATCGTCATGTTTAAAACAGAGCTCCAGAACCGAGACATTTGTTTCAGTTGTAAACATTATTCTGGTTCGTGTCTGTATATACACACAGACTAAATAGATTTACATCTTTAAAATAAAAACTAAAAAACACTGAAAAGTAAAACTAAACTGGATTTCAAATCAAAATAAAAATAATAGGACTTTTTTGGAACTTACCAGATGAAGAAATCCATAAATAAGTCTGCAAATACACAAATCTGGAAATTAATTCATTAATCAATCTGCAAATAAGTCTTTGGCGTGAATTAAAAAAAATCCCCACATTCGCCAACACATCAGTGTATTTAGTCTACATATATATTCTTTTATTCATTCGACATAGATTTAGTTGTTTATTTCTACCAAAAATTATTTACTTATACCCAAGATTTATTTATTAAGTTTTGTTTTGTCCTCCATAGAATCATAAATCCATTTTCATGTGGTGGATATGATCAATAACATAGACGTTGCACATTGGACCACACGTATCACACAGGCTGCATCTACAAAATGGGCTGATGGCACTTTGATTGTTGGAGGGGCCTGTCTCCTGGCTGCGGGTGGGGGCCCTTAGCTCTTACGTACTCCATAAACTACACCCAGCAGAAATAACATGTCGTTGCTCTTTCCAACAGCCCCTAATTCCAGGTCTACAAGGCAAAAATGGCCAACCCTCTGAAGAGTGCTGTGGTCAAACTGTACAAAAATGTGAGTCCGAATGCCTCTTTTGCATTATCACTAATGCATTAGAACTTGCTCTCGTCTATAGTGACATTTTAAGTCTTCCTGGAACAAGAGGCATGGGATTTTTTTAAGTTGAATTTATAGTGACTCTTAGGAGAATATACTGTTTAGCTTAAATTTTACTAATTATCCGTCTATCTTCCAATTACTTATCAACCACATGTACAGGAGTTACATGTCTTAATTATAGGAAATATAATTCATAACATAAGGCATTCTTTAATTTTGATAATTTTTACATGCAGGTTCTGTTCAGACTGACAGTGTTTCCCTCTTTTAAAGCTGCTGTATGTGGGACGGGATTATCCCAAAGGCAACGACTACTTCAGAGAACGGCTGAAGGCTGCGTTCATGAAAAATAAGGATGTGACAGACCCTGAAAAGATAAAGCAACTGATTGCACGAGGGGAGTTTGTGATGAAAGAGTTGGAGGCTTTATATTTCCTTAGGAAGTACAGAGCCATGAAGAAGCGCTACTACGACTCTGAGAAGTGAAGGTGCAGAATAAAGAACGCAAGGCTAACGGATGTGTAATTGTAACCATCTGCTTCACTTTCATTTGAAAGCATTCGTCAAACTGAAGACCCGCAATGTCGCCATTTGATTGCCTCATGCTTGCCAGGTCAAGGCTGTCTGCGTTGTTGCACTTGAGAAGTTGAAGTATGTCCATGTATACACAAGGGTTTAGCTACTGGAAAGTATTCATATTGTATGAAGTGTTTAAAACAAAAACTCTCCCAAGTTTACCCCCCAAGTTGTACAATGTAAAGTATTTAACCAGAAAGGGGGCTGTCAGAATGACAGCACTAAATTCCCCAGACAACTACGTCACTTTCTCCAGCTGTCTATTCCATACCAAAATGGTTATTTCATTTTTGTTTATATATATAAAAAAATCCTCATTTGCAATAAAAGTTTATAGACAATGTTTTTTTATAAAATGTTTATTTCGATACACATAAAAAGGTTCAAGGTAAAGAAAGCTTCAGAGTTCTTTGCTTTCCAGTTTTGTTTTCCAGGATGATTAAAGTTGATTTCTGTGTGGCTTGTTGAGGTCAGTCACTTCCCTCAAATGTAGTTAAATAATCCTGTTAGTGAGGTAGGCACTGGCTTTCCTGTTATGTGGGATCCTTAGCTACCAAGTTCTGACACATCCACTCGGCATACAGGACAAGTGGCATTTTCCTATAGGAGAAAAAAAAAAATAATTCAGCAATGCACAAACCCATAGCTGGCATCAAACGTGCTTCTGATTGGGGGAAAAGATCTGAAAACCCTTCCCATCGTTACCGATATGCCCAGCTCGTAACAGTATAATTTTCACTGATAAAACAATAGGTCTACCTTTAACCACCGATCGATGCATTGTACATGGTAGTCATGGAGACAGGGAAGAGTCCGTAATTTTTCTCCTTCCGCATATTCTGAGAAACAAATCTGGCACCTGCCCACACAGAAACCATCACAGGAAATCAGCACGACAAATACACTCCCTCGTTAACAGCAAAAAGCCTGTGGAGGCAGAATTAACTCAAGACTCACGTGATCTTCCCCGCACTGTAGGCTGGTTCAAATGTTTTTATGGGCAGCCTCTGGATCTCTATGGTGCTCATGGTCTTCTTGGCAATAACAGCACCCTGGCTCTCCTCAAAAGCCAGAAGAGCCTGGGTACAGGAAACAGTGGGCAGGGGCTGGACAATTCATGGTGCTCAAGGTCCGCTAGGAGCAGCACTGGGGTTCTATTCAGAGCCTTTCCTGCACCTCATTGATCTGGGCATTTCTCCTAAAGAGTTTATATTGTAGTTTGTGATATACAGGCGCTCCTCTATTTACGAACTTTCAGACATATGAACGAAGAGGACTGCAAGTCCAAATTGTGTTCGTTGGGCTTCTGTTTCCTGTCCGCAACATCAAATTTTGTTCTACGCACCAGTTCTGCCTAGTATGACCTCTGGCTGCTACTCCCGCCGACCATCAGCGTAGCGTGTGTACTCCCAGCATCCACGTTCTTTGTACTTGTGTATACCCTTAAAATTATGTTGAATATCGACTAATGAACATTTCAAGTTACGAACGGTAGTTCGGAACGTATCTCGTTCGTAAGTAGAGGAGTGTCTATTACTTTTTCCAACTTGTTATATAGCGTTCATTGTGTCCAATAGTGTTTGTCTATCTATGCAGTTGTAGCATAAGCGATTTCCCTCCTGGGATCAATAAAGTTTTTTTCTGATTCTGATGGTGGCTCAGGGTAGGCTGTATTCGCCGGTCTTGTGAAAGCCAACAGGGTCCTACCTCATAGTTGTCTCCCCGGCTGTCATCAAATAGGTCCGGATGCCTCTGGCGGGACCCATGGGAGCCCCGGAATCTATGCCCACGTCTAGCAGGTCTCGCTGCTAAGACACAGTCACAAGTGCCATTAACCCACATTTCAAGACAGAGTTCAAATTAAGGATAAAGCAGGCATACCTTCTGCCAATTCCAGAAACTCAGATAGTCCTGGATAGGAGTTCACAAATGAGGACAGAGGAGAAGGTATCCAGGCTATCTGACCAGGCCTGTCATACTGCAGAGGGAGATAGACCCTGTTAGACACTGGCCTGTAAGCTTCGCATGAAGAGTAAGTACCAAATTCTACAGGTACTGACCAGGTTGCGGGACGAACGGAAGGAGGCCAGCTCTTGTTCCTCTTCATCAAACTGTGCCTGCAGGAGTTCAAAGGTTATATGCTTCTCAAAGTTCACCGGCCTGGAGATGGCAGGCAGATGCTTACCTGGAGCCTTCGGGCAAAAGCCTCATCCACTTCCTCTTGGGCTGAACGCACCATGGCCTGGAAAATGACATCCTCGTCGTCACTGATGACAATCTCTTCCTGTTCTCCTGATGTTCTGGCCGGCTGCTTCGAACAAGAAGCCCGATCGTCCGCTGCGGAAAAAACCAGTCTCATAGTGCTCATCCGGTCAAAGAAAAACTTGTGTAACTTCCTTGCTCTGTGAAGAAATTATTTCCTCCCCTTACCTGGGATCCTGGGCTGTCTCAGTTCGCACACTGAGCTGGAGGGGCCCGGTGAGTGGGACACGATGGTACTCGAGGTCCGCTTGGAGGCCCTGGACCTGGGCCGTGTGGCTGCACTGGGGTGCTGCTCAGAGCCTTTGTTGCACCTCATTGATCTGCACTTCATGTTGGGGGCGAAGTCAGAGGGCTGTTTCTCACCATCGACATCAGCTCTCTGATTGGCTGAGTAACCAAGAGACGCACAAGCCACTACGGAGGATGATGGGGGCGCAATCCTACATTTACGGGACACCGGGGTGCTTGGGGCAACCAGAGATGAGGTAGCAAATCCATGTGCTGTGCTTAAGGGAGCAACTCCCCTCCCACAGCCACCCCCAGCTGAACCCGCAGTAGATCCATCATCTGAGTCAGCTTGTGAATCTGCTGCCATGAAGGACAACCTCCGGCGCTTGGCCCATCGGTATGACGGCGTCACGCTCCGTTCGGAGGGATCCCCTGCACCCTGGAATGACCGAAAGGGTGTCACATAAATTCAGATCAGACACGGGAGCTGATGGCACAGCTGAGCCTCTGTTCACTCATGTCTCTAGGCCACTACTGCATGGGTGGAAAGGCTTGGGTGGCTGGAGCAGCCAAGTCAATGGGGAAGAGCCACACTCACCTGTATGAGATCCTCTGGTGTATCTGCCCCACGTCCAGATCTCCAGGTAGGGAAAGGAAAGAAGAAGAAAAAACACTAATATAACACTTGAATTACTGTCAGACCATCCATACACATACAGTGGCATGAAATAATGTTCCCCTAGAACCACAGTGCAACGTACAGACAGCAAAAGACCAGGGGAGGGTTTTCACAGTGCAAAACACCGGAAAGCACAAAACAGGGGGGTGGACACAATGCTTTATACACATAGTGCAGTTCTGCATTTAAACAATCAACAATACAGCAAGGTAAAGACTGCTATATTATAATATCAACCAGCAATAAACAGCAATGGGAAGATTGTTCATATAACCATAAGCCATTTGACAGCACGAGCGACGGCATTACCTGGGTGTCTCAGGGATGACTGTGGTTGGTGACTGAAAGTCATCACTGGAGCTGAGAAAGAGTAGGTCACTGTCGTTCAGTAGACGAGCCTGGTTCATTTCCGTAGGTTCCTCAGCCTCAAAAAAACTATAGGCCCAGTCCTCCAATCTGAGACTCATCTTTGCCCCTGTACAGGAGTGACCGACCATCAAATATCTACAGTGCCAGTAATAGAGACATCTCTGTGGTTCACAAACGTACGAAAACAACCTAGAGAACATGAATAAATTTACTGGTGCGGGTGTTCTGACCAGTTGAGCTAGCTATCGAAACGTGCTATCGAGCCTTTCGGCGCATGTGCAGTTCCACCGTCTTGGAATTAGGGTTAGGGTTAAGGTAAGGGTTTTAGGGGGTTTTGGGTGGTTAGGGTTAGGGCTAGGGCTATTGATTAGCACTACGGTAGCCTAACTCGACAAAGTAGCTCAACTCGACAGAACACCGGCTTTCATAAGAGCAGGTATTCTGTCATAAAATACTACCTATCGAGAAGTGCTATCGAGCCTTTCTGCGCATGTGCAGTTCCACCGTTTTGGGATTAGGGTTAGGTTTTAGGGGTTAGGGTTAAGGTAAGGGTTTTAGGGGTTTTGGGGGGGTTACGGTTAGGGTAAGAGTTAGGGTTAGGATTAGGGCTATCGATTAGCACTGCGGTAGCATTTTTCGACAAGGCAGCATATATCGACAGAACACCGGCTAGTTAAGACTGAAAGCAACACGGGGATATCAATGTTTTGATTACAGCGTCATTAGATCCACTCAAATAAAATCAACGTTTATTATTAGCTTCTTGCATACCCTAAATATTGCGACAATGTACCTCGTTAAAGTAACCAATTACCAGAAGATGGTGCAACAAGCGCAACAGAACTGTAGTTAGCCACCACGCTAAGGTAAACTAAACGGCGACGGAATGCTTGTACCGAAATCCCATAATCTGAGGAATGTTTGAGATAAACATCAAAACAGAGATGTCCCTGGCTTACCATAAACGTCACTTAAATGACTATTAAAGGCCCACCATAACATTCATTCAGTGTCTAAGAAAACTTACAGCCAGACGCTTCCTGCTTCCTCAGCAGAACTGAATGACTTCCTGCGTTTTACTCATACGTCACACCCGCGTGCCGGGGCGCCGCGAAACTGCCTTTCCAACGAAACGTTGTCCCTTCCTGCGCACGCGCATAGACAGTGTCCGCCGCTTCAGTTTTCCAGAACTTTTTTAAAAATTATTATTATTATTTTTTTAATTAATTTATTTTATTTCCAATGCTTAACAAGTACAGGTAATATATTTTATAGAGAGAGTATTAAACAAAACAAGAACAAAACACAGAAAAAACAACATGCAGCCGAGTTATTAAAAAGTCAAAGATTATCATCTCAATACCAAATATGAAAGAACATTTCAGCACTACGTCTATACGTCAAATTAAAAAGCATCAAATGAGGATACAGTTCTGATTGTTCTTTTTAGATTTTCTGATTAAATTTATATAATTAATTAGGTCCAATTTGTACACAGGGAAAATGGATTAGATTTATTCTATTTACATTTATGAATATAAAATTTTGCTAAGAGAAACATTAACTTACTTAGAAGGTAAAGTCCACACCTTTTACCAGGGTATATTATCCACTACGTCATTCCAGTATGAAACAACATATGCAACAGTGGTGTAGTTTTGGGTAAAGTGTCTTAATTTTTCTATTATTATTTCTTGAGAAGCATGTAGAAAAACACACCTTACCAACAGCAGATTCAACAGGATCCATAGATGGAACAGTCCGATTATTAGAGTAAAAATTCTTCAACAACATAACTACTCCATAAGGGAATGGAATCACAAGCAATGGCAAATTCTTTAGCGCTTACTGGGATTTCAAAAACGGTCAGAAACTAGAATAGTGATAAAATAGTGATAAAGCTGACCAGCTCTGCTATATAGTTGACTTACTAAAAGTATATTATTTTTATACCAATTCTCAAAAAATACAGATTTATGTTTATATAGAATATCCCTGTTGTTCCAAATAAAATAGGAATGAGGAGAGAAGTTGTGTTTGAATATGAGGAACCAGGACAGCAACATTTGCTTATGAAAGTTTGACAATTTTAGGAGGATTTTAGAAATCTCATAATTACACATAAGCAATAATTTCAGACCGCCAACTTTTGAAAACATAAAAGAGAGAATAATATTCCAAATAGAATCTGGAGTTTTTAAATAATGTTTTATCCAATTAACTTTGAACATTTTGTTTAAAGTTGAGAAGTCAATAAAGCTTGAGCATTTTGCCCATTATTCATCATTACAGATTTCAGCTTTAGATAGAAGCGATAAGTCTTTCTGCAACCAAGAGTTCAGCTTTCTTCTTGTTTTCTCCAATATAGGCTCAAAGTTTAACAATGATCTATCTTTGTCATCTTTTGAGATTTTCATCCCTAGATAAGTCACTTGATCTTTAACCGAAATATTGCATATGGATGCTTTATTGTTGTTTCTAGTGAGAGACATTATTTCACATTTATTTATATTTGTAACCAGATGCCACAGAAAACACTTTTATGGCATTCGAAGCAACTGAGACCTGAGACTCATCCTTTAAAAAAAGCGTAGTGTCATCCGCTAATTGACTAATAAGAAATTGCCTACCTGCGACTGTAATACCTTGTAAAGCACTACTATCCAAATAATTAGCAAGTATCTGGGAGGCTATCAAAAACAGATAAGGGGAAATTGTGCAGCCTTGACATATCCCTCATGACATATTAAACCGTGGTGACGTGCCATGTTACAATTGGATGGTGCTGTTTCCATTTTCCTAACTAATTTACAAAAATAATTTCCATAGCCAAATTTCCTTAAGGATTTCAAAATAAAATTATGTTCAACTGAATCAAAATCTTTCTGAAAATTAAGTAAAAGAATGAAGCTGTCAGAGCTGTAAATAAAATCACTATAGTCCAATAAGTCTATTATTAATTGAATATTATTTGCAATATGACAGCCTTTCATAAAACCTCGTTGTGTTTAATCTATAATAGAATCAAGGGTGGCTTTAAATCTTTTTACAAAGAGTAAAGAGAGAATCTAATAATCATTATTAAGAAGTGTAATTGGACGCCAATTTTCTATCAATAAGGGATCTTTGTTAGGTTTAGGAATCAATGTTATTACTCCTTGAATCATAGTAGGAGGGAGAAATTAATCTTCTATACTTTCCTTAAAGACTTCTAATAAAAAGGGATCTAATTGTTCAGCAAAAGCTTTATGAAATTCAGCTGTAAATCCATCACTACCTGGTGATTTGTTAGTTTATAATGCATTGATAGCAGACAGAACCTCATAATGCGAGATGTTATCTTCACATAAGAACTTCTTAGCTTATGTTACAATTTCACAGTTTTCAATGGAGTCCAACAAAGAATCGGTCTTTTCACTAGAATAAGTTGAAGAATAAATCTTCTTAAAGAAATTAGCACAAAAGTAAGCGATTTTCTTTGGGTCTTCAGTAATGGTGCCATCAACGATTAACTTAAGACCAGAGGAATGGAATCGTCTATTCTCCAATCTGAAAAAATAAGAATTCTGCTCTCCCTCTTCGAGCCATTTACTTCTAGACCTAATATAAGCTCATACAGTCTTTCTTCTATATAGGCCTATATCTCATCCAGCTCATTTTGAAGTTTAGCATATTCGTGTTTCTCAACATCTGAGAGAATTCTTTGTTGAGAGAGAAGTTAATTTGCTGAGAACCAGTTCTTTTTCTCTTCTAGTTTTTTGCCAAATTGGAACCAAATTTTCTATAAAACCTTCCTATTTCCCAGTTAACCTTGCAAGCTCTTTCAGTTTGTGCTTTTGTCCAAAATACCTTGATAAATTCTTTTATTTTTTCATTAACAGATGAAAATTCTAGAAAGGAATTATGTAATTTACAGAACTTTGCATATTTAGGGACGAGACCTGTTTGGACTTGAGCGGGTTTCGTGTGAGGACGAGGCATAGTGCAGGTCAAAACAGAAAATGTGGACAACCTACTTGCGGCTCACCAGACGGGGGTTTATTAAACAAAACAGAAAACACTAAGAACACTACAAAAACCAAAAGGGGATAAACAAAGACTAAAAAAAAAACCATTGATCAATGAAATTACAGCAGCAAAGTGACCTACAGGATCTAAATCAGACAGCATAACGTCCCCACCAAATCAGTATTTAAATATACCCACACCAGCTGATCGTTCTGTACCATGTGACACATCATCACCCCATTGTAATTTCCAGAATTTTGTATCCTCTAAAGTGCAGTGACATTCTTGAAGAAAGCAAAAATCAGGTTTGTGCTCTTTTGCAAACAGAAAAAGTGCTTTTCTTTTCATGTGATTTTTAAGACCCCTGGCATTAAGAGAAAACAGTAAGAAAGACATGCAATGTAACAGCTATAACCTTAGCTACTCAGGAAAAATGCAATGCGTAACTATGGGAACCCTTTCTAAACTGGAGAAGTATCACAAAATAACAAGCTTCAGATTTAATAAGGCAGTTTCGTCAAACAAATCACAAGTTGAAATATGCTGACCAGAGAACTTTTTGTCATTCAAATGAAAATTTACCAAGCACACCATCTGAATGCTGTGACCTTGTTCACTAAACAATACAGTGTTATAACATTATATTGTGTTATATTATATTGTGTTATAATTATTAACACAATATAAACTACGACGTTGCAGCCAGAAATGACAGCAACGATACTACGCGTTAGAGCACACAAATAGGAATCTCTATGTCCTTCACAGTAATTCTCTTTCCATCTATTACTGCAAACACACCTTGAAAACCTGCTCTTTTCCCTTGTTTTTGAGCTTGCTCTACCAACGGACAAAGTTTCTCATGCGCATCTTTGGTCCCCTGTGAGAGATCCTCCAAGATCTTTATTTTCTTTTGTTGTAGAATTATTGATGTTTTGCCGCCTTTCTAAATTTTATCACGACATGTGCGTGAGAGGAATTGGACGATAATTCTCTGAGGGAATTTGTTCTTATCAGACTGTGGACCAAGCCTGTGTGTGATATGAACCACAGCCGGGAGCTGGGATGCAATCTCCGGAGAAATCTCAACAATTACACAAACAAGTCAATCACACGCTGTTTAACATTTTCGCCCTCGCACTCCTCAATGCCCACGACTCTCAGATTCCATCTTCTCTTGTAAGCATCGAGTTCATCACACCTGGAGTGCGACACGCTGTTTTCCTTTTCAAGTACCGTATATATGTACAATATGTAAAATATGTAATATGTATCCCAGAAAATCACTTTCTTACCAATCCTCCAAAAAACAATTCTCTAAATCAATCCAAAAGCATTTTACATAAGTCACAAAGAGGTGAACTATGGTCTCTTTTATTAATTTACAAAAATCACAGAAGTAGTCAGTGTTTGAGGACTGAAGGAATAGATTGCGGGTGTCCTGGATAAAGACCAGCATCCAGGCCTTTAATGACTTCTTAGGCACGGCCATCAGTAGTGTGTCTGTCTGCGGGGAGAATGTCGACCTTTTTTAAGAGAGTTACTTTCCTCGGCAGCGACATTCATATCTCTGGTGACTCTTCCAATGAAGTCAGATGGATTGGAAGAGCATGGGGGGGTCATGAGGTCGCTGGAAAGGGGTGTGTGGCACTCCTGATATCTTTGCAAGAGGACAAAGGTCCAAATCTTTAGAGTCCTGGTGCTCCTTGTCTTGTTGTATGGCTGTGAGACATGGACACTGTCCAGTGAGCTGAGGTGAAGACTGGACTCCTTCAGTACTGTGTCTCTTTGGAGAATCCTAGGGTGCCACTGGTTTGACTTTGTGTCGAATGAGCGGTTGCTAGAGGAGTCCCAAATGAGGCACATTACCCGCATTGTGACGGAGCATCAGTTACGGCATTACAGCTATGTGGTGCGATTCCCTGATGGTGATCCGGCTCACAGGATCCTCATTGCTGAGGATCCAAGCGGCTGGACCAGGCCGAGGGGACACCCACGTAACACCTGGCTGGGGGATGGTCATTTCTGGAGTGTGGCACTGGACTGTGTGTCTACCTGGGGGGTCGCCAGCCGGGATCCTGAGGAGTTTCGCCGTGTGGTGGGTTCGGCAAACTGCTGTATCTGGCAACCTGTTCTTGTGGCAAACGGACATACATGAGCGCTGCAGTATCAACCACCGCTACCGTCATACTCTATTCACTTTGTCAATTTGACACTGAAAATGACATTTGGGTATGTATGTTGTATATATGGCGGGATAGTGAAACCTTGCGGGCGTTTATGCACGAAAGGGCTATCAAAAAAGGCACTAAGAACATCGGGGGGCACCTTTATTCTTTCAGGTGAAACGGGCAGTTACTTAGGCACCCCCAGCCCCCCCATCACTGCATGTGCCTGTTGACTTAAGATCAATTTAATTGAAATTACCATTAATAGCCATAACACTGATTTAGTTAATAAGTCTCTTTCACTCAGATGTTTCCTCCTGTGACATTAGCATGGAAAATGGGAAAAAGATATTGTATCACCAACAAATTTAGAAAAGTAATTAATTCATGTAATATACCCAGTTAACAGATTTCTTGAAAAATATAGAAAGATATTGATGGAAATTGTACATCTAGCCAAAAAGAAACAGAAACTACTGAACGTTTATTGTATTGATGTATTTACACAAGACATTCTTGGCTTGATTTTAAACATCACATCATAAGAATGACTGTAATGAATATTAAATTGTCATGTAAGGAATTATTTGCTATGAAAATAATCTGAATTCTAATATTCTAATATAATTCCCCATGACAATATTTTCATAATATATGGCAAATATCATTTACACAAATGTAAACAGGCTAAAGAAAGGCCAGATTATGATATATTTACATTACTTTGCTTACTAGAAATAATAAAAAAAGAATTTTAAAGCAATAAACAGAAGTACAATATGTGAAAAAAATAACCATAGACATGTAATAAATATGCTGTTCTGGAAAAGATTAAGAGACCACAACAAACTTTTGTTTCATTCATTTCGCAGTGTATGGGTATGCGCCTGTGTAAAATGTTCATTTTCTTGCAAAATCCAGCCTCTTTCCTGCTTCTCATTGATTAAGAACTTCGGCCTTGCTACATAGCCCTCCAGTCCTAGCAGTGCACTCCACACTGCATAATGTTTCCCATTCCTTTTGAAGGTCACTTGATGTCATCCTCCGATTTATGAGGCACTGCTGGATAAGTTGACGGTTATCTCTGGCATTAGAAAGTCACTTCTGCCCTCTACCTGGCTGGTTTTTGGTCATTGCCAGTGTCTCCTGCTTCACCTTGTTCTTCTGTACCTGTGACTTAGACCTTTTGAGCCTCAGAGTAACCTGCCACTCAGTGTAGCCAGCAGAAACAGGATTAAACCGGGATTTTAAAATGCTGTTATTTTAAAAAATATAGTGTGGTCTCTTTTTTTTTTTTCCAGAGCTGTATACCCCTGTAATTTCTGTTATTTTTTCTTTATGTTGTACATTAATACTTTTGATATACTGATATATTCATTTAATGTACATTTATTGTTATGTAATGTAAACTGTTTTACTATGCTAAGTTCAATAAAGTTTTGGAGAAACAAAAAACGTGCTTGGTGTTCCTTGTGTCAACAGTGCACACACTTAGACAGAGTTAGCAGATGACTGGAGGGTTAGTGCGACTGAGTACTCATACACTGACCTTACGCTCCGAGAAGTGGCACACGGATGTGCATGAGTGCTGCTGTATCAGCCACTGATATCATCCTACTCTATTCATTTTGTCAGTTTGAAACAACTGCAGTGTTTGACTCAATGGGTCCCATTTTATTTAATCATTGAAAACGACACTAGGTATATATAAGGTTAAAAGCGACACCATTTTCGATAATTCAAAAATATATATATAAAAAAAAGAAGGCAAGAGATTACTGCAGTCTTGCGGCAGGAAAGAAGGCTGCTGGATGTAATTCAGGGAGAAAAACTGCCTCGTCTAACTCGCACTTGAGAGAGGTCCAGCTCAGAACTGCAGAAAGCAGGATTGTTTCTTCCAAAGTCTTTCTCACCACGCTTGTTCAAGTCCAGATTACTGGTACGTTTCATTGCCTAGGAAAAGAAACCATGCAAAAATAGGTAAATTCACATTTTGCTAACAAACTTACTATTACCTCCTGGGGAAGAACCTTTCTGCCAGTGTATTTATGGTGATGAAACTTTTCACCTGGGAAATTTTCTGTTTCAAGGTGCTATACAAGTAGTAACAGGTCAAATCCTCCTTTTTCAGGGTCATTTCTGGTGTCAGCTTCTTACTTCCTGGTTAAAAAAGACAAAAAAACAACAGTTCAGGCCATTCAATCACAAAATGGTGACTGACATGAGGTGCTGCATGAGCTGACAACAGAGAAACAGGGGAAAGGACAAATGAAACATTAGTGTGCGGACAAGAGGCGACCAGTACCTGTTAGCAGGCTAACGATAATGCCGACCGCCATTACTGTGATGGTCCCAACTACACTGAAGTACAGGTAGGACAGAGAGTACCACTCATTGACGTTTGTCCTGTCAAAGAAGTACCACACCTCACGGTCAGTGCTTCTGGTCTAGTTGTACACCACTGCATAGCAGCTGAAGTGCCCACACCATTTATGGGCAACACGGCTCACTATTTTAGCTATTGTTTACACTGGCGTTGTGATATATAGCAACTGCAACCTCTGTGAGAAGGAACCTGCAGTACTTCCTTTTGGTTTATCTCATCTACTCTACAAGCAGCTTACATTTCACAACTCACCTGTATTCTGGATCCTCTTGCAAGACAGTGCTGACGATGGGTAACTCTTCTCTACTTAAGGTCCAGTTTAGCCTCCCGTTAGTCATGGTAAGGTTGCAGCCATCTGTGCTGAGGTGCAGTGGCTGCTTGTAGTTTACTGAAGGGGTGTACAAGTGGGCTCCTATCCCAACCCACAGAGACAGGGCAATGCCGCTTAAAAAGCCCACCAGGGCCCCCTGAATTAGGCATCAGGCCATTGGCCACCGAAACACAGGGAGAAAAAGCACAGATGATTCACATCTATTGAGAAATTACAGCAGACATTTGTAAATTTGTAAAAATTGCTTTTCTTCTGTGGAATCATCTACAAACCAAATAATAAAATAACCAAGCACAATTCAGCACTGAAGTCAAATTAAAATTAGTAGATGTTCTGAAACATATCTGGAAACTTTTTATGATGGACTTCACACTTATAATCTAGGTGGATATAACTGCTCAGGTTATGCGATGCCCACAGCTATAAAGATACAGTAATATATTTGACTCGAGAACCTACAATACTCACCACAGAGTTGGCAAAGGGGCAGAGAATGCCCAAAGAGAAAAGACCAAGGACAGGCCCTCCGGAGATGCCCATAATACTTATAGCAGCCTGCAGGGGGCAATAGAGAGCTTATCAGTATGTGGCACTCAGAACAAGGAATATCTCCTTCTCTGTACTACCGTCAATGATGGGAGATGACTGAGTAATGGTGAGCGAGTCTATCCTCACCTGCAGAATTCCCCCCATCACAGATGCGATGCCAGCCATGCCAATGCATATGACCCCAAACACAACACCTGCAAGCATCAGAAATTCATGACCGAGTCTGAATCAGGGAGATTTAATAAAATAAAGCTAGCCTCAAAATATAATAATGGACAGCTGGGGTAATGGTGAAGAGGGTTATTGGATCACAGCCCCATCCAACTCACTAAGCCCTTTGGACATCCAGGATAATGTCCTCTCAGACATGCTGAAGTGAGGTTTGACCAGGTCCTCCACCGTCACTGCTGCCAAGGCATTTATACTGGAGGAAACAGTACTATAGAAGGAACACACAAAGATATTTAACCTACACATATGTAAGCTTACAGAACATGCATCATTTATAAAACACTCTAAAATGATCCAGTTATTACCTCACCAGAATGGTGAGAATAGTGGTCAGCTGACAACACATACAGTACCAGTCAAAAGTCTGGACACACCTGCTTTTAATGTATTTGTCTCTATTTTATCTATGTTATTCACCTTATAGTAAAAGGCTCTGAGGCAATGAAATCATATGTAGTAAATATTCGGTAACGCTTTACATTAACTGCACCTTCATAATGCTTTTATATTGCATTCATAGTACATTCAGTGCACCTTCATAATGCATTCATAGAACATTAATAACAAACATTATATAATAATAACAAATATTATAGTGTATAATGTTTGTAATTAATGTATATTAAAGCTGTTAAGGGATGTTAGGATGTTAAGGTGTACATGCATGCTGCTTATGAATGTTCTATGAATGCATTTTGAATGCATTATGAAGGTGCACTTAATGTAAAGCATTACCAAATATTCCAATGACCAAGAGTTGTGTTCAACATCGCAAAATTTTCTCAGATTTTAGACTCTTCAAAGTACTCCCCTTTTGCTTCGATGACATCATTGCAGATTCTTGACATTCTTTCAACCAGCTTCCAAATATAGCCATCTGGAATGATTCTCCAAAAGTCCAGAAGGAGTTTCCACAAGTTCTGGGCACAAGGTGGCGACCTTGCTCTTACCCTTCGATGCAACTCATCCCAAACCAGCTCTATAGGTTTTAGGTTGGGGGATTGTGGGGGCCAGGTCACCTGTCACACCAGTCCCCATTTCTTTCTTTCTTCACTAAATAATATAGTACATAGATTACTAGGTGTCCTGAGTGTCATTATCTTGTTGAAAAACAAATTATTTCCAGTAGGTATTTCCAGACTTTTGACTGGTACTGTATCTAAATTGTCCTGCACAGTGGAGAGAGAGACAGGAGTAACAAGGGCTTCTTTCATTTCAACTGTTTTACCTCAGTGTTCCGCTGTAGGCAGCAGCCACAAAGAGCCCAGGAACACCAGGGAAGTCCCTCAAGATATCCAGCACCATGTAAGGCATTAACTAGGGGGCAATGAACATGTTCAGTGTCTTAGCAGTTTTACAGGTCATTGATGTGCATGTCAGTTTGGGCACTTTCCACTGCACCTGCATACTTTTGATATGGTACTTTTGGTACTTTCGCTTTTCCATTGACTTCTGGTTGAGTACAAGTACCAAAAGTTCCAGTACCAAAAGTTCCAGTACCAAAAGTGATAATCTAGCTGAGGTACTTATTTGGTATTTTGCTACATTGGGGTGGGACTTGACACTCTCTTTGACTTATGGTTAAGTTCCAGTACTAAAAGTGCCAAACCAGCTGAGGTACTTCTTTGGTACTTTGGGGTGAGACTTGAAATGCTTTCTTTTGTTGGTTGGTTATGCAAACAGCCTGCCCCTGAAACACGATGCAACTGCTGCCTTGAAAGAAGTTGCAAACTCAGAAAATAAGGATAAACAAAGTAAAAAAAATATTGCAATCTGGTCGGAAGAACAGATACAGCAAAAAGAAAAAAAGTATTTTGCATGCTTTAACCTCCTGCATTATATCTGCATACAGAATTGAAAGTAAGAAAAAGCCTGATCTTGATCTAGCTGACTAGCGATGTAAGAACTGTATGTGCATAACACGTCATGTTGGTATTAATATCAGACATCATGCAGCCCTATAATATCCATCCATCCATTTTCCGAATTCAGTACAAAATGCCCCGCCTGAAGTTGTGATGTCATTCAGCGCCGTTACCAGTTTTACAGCCAACACATAGTTACCCCCCCCCCCCCCCTTTCCTCTGCATGGCCCTACCTGATCGGGAGCTGATACCAAGCCTGCATTCCAGGGGTCACAGTTCTTGTAGATGGAGTACAGGCACAGTCCAGAGAACACCGAGCACAGGAGGACGACCCACAGTCCCAGCAGGTTCAGGAGGAGGGCCCTGTAACATGCATTCACCCACACATATACCTTCACGAGTAGCAACTTGCGAAGAAAGATCACCTTAATGCATTATTCCTTAACACTGCAGCACTTCCTGTTGGGTAACTCACATTTTGGCATGGATCAAGGACTTGCATGATATGTATCTCTGCACTTGAGCCTGATTGACCCCATATATGCTAATCCAGACGAAGGCTCCTCCGAAGGTGATGGTCCAGAAGGTGTGGCGCCTTAGAGGACTGGGATCAAAGCTAGACAGGAAGGGAGAGCACAGGGCACATCTGTAGTGCGCTGAGCTGCTGCTGCTACGGAGAACCTTCAAAATTGAGCGTCTTCTGTGAAAACTCACTTCCAAAAGTTCAGTCTCCCTCCATGTCGGGAGTCGTCAATTATGGCCAAGAAGCCTCCTTGTTGCCAGGTGGCCCGGATGATGACGGAGAGAAATCCGGCTACCATTATGCCCACCTGGAAGACATCTGTCCAGACCACTGCCTTTAGCCCGCCCTGTAAGAGAGGGCACAGCAGCCACCTCAGCCAGGGTACTCAAACCAGGGACTGCCTGCAGCACCAGGCAAAGTCTGGACACACCTGCTTTTAATGCATTTTTCGCTATTTTAGCTATGTTACTCACCATATAGTGAAGGGCCCTTGAGGCAATTAAGTACTGCATATCAAATACTGCAATGACCAAGAGAAGTGATCAAATTCTTAAAAATCTCTCAAATTTTAGACTAATCAAAATAGCCCCCTTTTACTTTGATGATGGCATTGCAGACTCTTGAAGGGGTTTCCGCAAGTTCTGGGCACAATTTGGTTCCCATGTTCTTACTCTTCGATCCAACTCATCCCAAACCAGCTCTGTAGGGTTTAGGTCAGGAGATTGGTGGGGGGCAGGTCACCTGTCACAGCACTCCATCTTTTTACTTGTTCACAATATTATACAGTACTTATCTAACCTTGAGGTGTACATTGGGTTGTTACCTTGTTAAAAACCAAGTGATTTTCAGTAGGTGTGTTCAGACTTTTGACTGGAACTGCAGATCTCATTTTCTTGTATTTTGATTTTACTATTCTGCAGTTGAGAGTATTTGGAATTTTATTTTGATTCATTTTGAAGGATTTTAGTGCACTTACACAAACCAGCATGGCTCGATGTTTTGGTATACTTGTATTGGTGAAATAAAAGTTGTGTCTTACCAGAGTGCAGTAAAAGGTGCAAACTATTCCTGTGGCAATCACAGCACCCCACAAATCAAAACCAGTGACTAGAGGAGGAAAGGATAAATAGATTAACTACACTGCAGGTAATGAACACAAAAGACACGTCGCAGAACAATCAGTCGTCTGTCCTGCTCCTTGCTGGTGACAGGAGGCCACTGAAACAAGGTATAATAAACAGAAAGTCAGCTGGCTTCTGCTGACACCCAAAGGTGGGACCCAAAATGACCGGGACCCAAAATGACCGGGACCCAAAATGACCGGGACCCAAAATGACCGGGACCCAAAATGACTGACACCACAGAACTCCTGATTGCCAAACATGGGAAAGTGGAGAAATCATTTTCACAAAAGTAAATAATAGACTAAAGGAAGGTAGGGCTACTCTACCTTGGTTTAATGCAAGAGCGGGTGCATAGATGACCATCCCTGTGTAGGACACCTGTATTAACAGGGGTTACACACATACAGGCATTTAGTACAAGTCCAGTGCCACCTTAAAGACTGTGTATAATGTAACATTGTATATAGGGACTAACACATACGACGCTTTTCCCATTGTTTGCACTTTATTTGGAACTACCTCCCTCTCTCTCCCTCTCTCTCTCCCTCCCTCTCTCTCTCTCTCTCCCCCCTCCCCTCTCTCTCTGATGCTAATGACCCAGTTTGCTCCAGTAAATCCTACAATGTCACATAACCAGGCAGCCGAACTGTACTCACTGTCTGCAGTATGAACATCATCGTCCCACACAGACGAGCCGCCCTGTTGAAGCGCAGCTCTAGATACTGTGGGTTAATGAACATGCAGATTAGAACCTGGCCGAGCCCCGAAGACGTAAAGGCAGAGATAAAATAATACTGATCCCTTTGTCAAAAACCTTGCTGTTTTACTTAACAGCAGCAGACATTCTTGTCAGGTTTGTACCCTAAAACCAGAGTTGTAGAAATTTATTTTGACGCACATTTCATTTAATGAAGACTCGGTGATCACACTCATGAGAGGCCTCTCAGTAAGAGGGAGGTGTGATGTCTACTGTCTACTGGAGCTTGGTGGCGGTACTGAGGACATGATAAACTCCCTACCTCATAACTGCTGGTGATTCCAAGCCTGTAGAAGACTGGCAGGAAGACTTCTGAACAGACAGCCACCACCAGCATGTAGGCGATGCCAAAGAACCCATAGATGGCGCCATACTGGTAGACTTCGGCTGGGGTCGCCAGGACAGTTATGGCGGACATGAAGCTGGCTGTCAGGGAGAAGGCGACCGGCAGGGCAGTCAGGCCCCGACCCCCCATTAGGAAATCCTGGCTGTTGCGCTGCCCTTTCCCAGCCAGGGCGAAGTACACCCCCACTGCGGCCGACACCAGCAGCATCAGTGCAAAGACCACGTAGTCCCACACAACGAAGGTAGTCATCTTGGTTGAAGCATCCATGAAGGACTTTTCTCTACCTGTCTTCTTGATGTATGACTGACCGCTTCCACACTCACCAGCACCCGCCACTGGGAGCCCAGCTGAGCCGACCCGAGCAAGACAGTGCTGCTGTCCCAGGTGTAAGTGCTAAAGAAAATATGCCGGAAGTTATAAAAATGGCATTCTAGTCCGTATGGATGTTACCACAAGATCTGTCTCTGATGCTGAGTTGGTATGATAAAAAGCTGAAATCAGCTCAGACAGAGCAATGAGTTTGAGACTTTTCTCAGGATGAATCCAAGTTCAAGTCCTCTCTAGCCCCATGAAAGCCCTGGTGTGTTCACTCACCCAGCAAATGCCTCATGAAGAGCTTCCCTTGTGCTCCAGGAAACCTGTGGGATTCTTGGCCCACAGCAGATGTCTGTAAAGTGCAGGAATTGTTCGTCTGGTCGGTAGATAAGTACCCTGTCATTACCCACCCCCTCCTTTCCCCTTACCACCCGCGCTTCCCTCCGCCTCTCTGCTCACCACTGAGGTGAGTGTAGGAGTTACAAGGTGGTGGGGGGTTAGCG